AACTTCTCTGCAAGTTGATAAGGACTAGAAACATCTGTCTGTCTGTCTTGGGAATAGATGGTTTTGTGGTTTCCCATCTTGGTCCTCTTTGTGTTCTGAAACTTTTTTATGTGCCCCTTTTCAAGATGCTAAAAGCATTTTTATTTATGCCTAGGTGCAGAGGAAGAGGGAATAGGCTATTTTCTAGGAGAGAGAGAGAGGGGAAAGTGTGAGTTGAAAGCAAAAATGGAGGTGTGGGGGTCTCCAGTGTGCAACTTCTGGTGTGAGCTATGGGCTGGGGCGACATTGGCCTCCTTCCTCAATGGTCTTTGCCTGGTTTAATAGAACATTTCCCTTAAAAAGATCTGGCTTGGTAATTTGGTTTGAACCAAGATCCAACCAGATCCTCCTCCAGAATTCTGTGGACCTACCTTTATTCTGATTTGAGTTCTCCAAGGTTTAGTTTTCACAGACCTTCAAGACGCCTATTGTAATTCAAATAGCAAGAAAGTTCACTAACAAGACTGTGGTCACAGGGTGGGGTTTCCTTGTTGCTGTTGTTTTTTTTTTATCTCAACAGCTTTACACAGATCCAGATGTTAGGAGAGGTGCAGGGATAGCCTCCCTAGGCCATGGTAATCAAAACAGGAAATAGAATCAAAGTGAAACATTCTAGTAAAGCTTGACACCCCTTTTTAGGCTGCACTGGCCTCTTGGCAAGCTGTTATCACAGAACAGCTGGGGTCCTTTTCCCGCATTTAAGTTGGCTCTTAGGGGTAACTCATAAAGGGAAACTTCCTTAGGTTTACCTCAGCTAAATAAATTGACCTTCTAGATTAAATTTGTTCTCTAGATTTGCACAACTGAATAATTACCTATGGTAAATTACCTTCACTGTTCTATACCTATAAAAAGGTGGGATCTGACAGACTTTCACAGTATTCCCCAGTGGGCGTCAGGAAGCTTACCTGGATTTCTTGAGCCGCTTTGGGGTTATATTCAAACGTGCTTCTGATGTTTTTATTATGAAAAGTCTTAAGTGATGCAATAGGAAGGTAGGGTGACTTGCATCAGCAATATTTGCCCATTTTTAAGTAGAATTTAAATAAAAACTACTCTGTAATGTTTATAGCATTATATTTTCTCTGTCAGTTACTTTTTTTTTTTATTGGCTGGGGCCGGGTATGAACCTGCCACCTCTGGTATATGGGGCTAGCACCCTACTCCTTAAGCCACAGGTGCTGCCCTCTGTCAATTACTTTTTAAAAAAATCTCATCCTGCTCTTTTCTCGTGCCTTTCCCAAATGATCAGATGTGTGGTTAGTCTCAGTGTGGTCAGTTTGAAAATAAAAAACAACCTTTAAAATGGTTTTACTTGCTGAAGATGCAGACTTGGATGTTTTTTACC